CTGGGGAAGTTCTCGGACATAATCTCAAACCATCCGGTGCCCTGCGGCTCCCCCAGTCCTGGGGTTGGTAGAGGCTTAGTTCCCATGCAGTGCAGAATTCAAGCAGACACTGGATGCCAGGTGACCCTGGCTTTAGGAGTTGGCCAGAGATCTGTCCTACACTGAGCAGGAGTTCAATGAGCTTCTCTTTCCTTCCTGTGCTCTTCCTTGCTCTCTACTGCCTGCATGGTTGCTGCCTTTCACTACTACTCTCGCTTTAATGAATTCCTTCCTTACCTACTGTGGGTAAAATTGCAATTATTTCCACAATCTCTTGCCTGGTCTTAGTCCATCTCCATATCAATAGGTGTTTCCAAGGAGTGGAGAGAAGTCCACCTTCATATCAGGAGGTGATTATAAGGGGAGCAGGTGGAGAGGCAAGCTCACAGGGACCAGAGTGGTTATTTTGGGTTTTTCCTAGTCAGAAGGGGGAGAGATGTGGGTGAGTGGGAGTAGACGAACAGAGACGACATCTTGTAAGCAATAAACAGGTTTCTCCCACTTGATTTTTCTCTCTGACAGATTGTGGCTTCAAAGGTTTATTTGCTGTGGGCTGGGAACACATTTTCCCCCCGGAGGTACACCTACACTCACCTGACCTGTTTATGAATTCTTTCTTGATCCAAGTCAAGAACCCACCCCAGTCCAGGTTGAGATTTCACCTAAGGCTCAGGGAGAAACCTCCCCAGACACAGGTGCCTGGCAACACCTCCACATGTTCACCAGCCCAGAAACTCCTGTTCAAGAATTTTGTTTTTATTGAGGAACTGAGTTTTTTATTTCAGATTTTTTTTGGTATTGTTAATGTACAGTTACTTGAACAACATTATGGTTACTAGACTCCCCCTATTATCAAGTCCCCACCACATACCCCATTACAGTCACTGTCCATCAGCATAGTAAGATGCTATAGAATCACTACTTGTCTTCTCTGTGCTATACTGCCTTCTACATGCCCCACCCACCCACATTATGTGTGCTAATCGTAATGCCCCTTTTTCCCCCTTATCCCTCACTTCCCACCCATCCTCCCCAGTCCCTTTCCCCTTGGTAACTGTTAGTCCATTCTTGGGTTCTGTGAGTCTGCTGCTGTTTTGTTCCTTCGGTTTTTTATTTGTTCTAATACTTCATGAGGGAAATCATTTGGTACTTGTCTTTCTCCGCCTGGCTTATTTCACTGAGCATAATACCCTCTAGCTCCATCCATGCTGTTGCAAATGGTAGGATTTGTTTTCTTCTTATCACTGAATCATGTTCCGTTGTGTATATACACTACATCTTCTTTTACTGTTCAAGAATTTTTAGAGAGTTTTGCTCTCTAGCCCCAAACTTGTCTCCACAGAGGTTGGTGGGAGGGGCTAAAAGTTTCAGCCCTTTTACCACTTGGTCTTTCTGGCGCTCTGCACCATCCTGAGGCTGTCTTGGAGCCCCACCCTGAGTCACTTGATTAGTATAAGACCAAAAGGGACCCCTTAGGAAGGACAAAAGACACTTCTACATCTAAGAAATTCTGAGGGTTTTAGGAGTTTTGTACCTAGAACTGGGGACAAAGACCAGATTTATTTTCTATTATTATGTGCCCCCACCCTCCATTTTGCAGCACACCCCCACTCTGCTTCCAGACCTACAGATGCCAGATGGATAATGTGAAAAAGTGAAGTGGGTCATATTTTATTTTGTTTTTTCCCATTATAGTGTCTTCAACAGAAGCTTTTTTCACAATAATTTGGTAGGAATATTCTTTATTTCTATAAAGAAATAGGTTCTCTCCCAGTTTTCTTAATCTTGTGAATTTATTTTGTTTTGTTTATGGTTTCCCACTTTTGATAGGTACAGGGCTATAAACATAGTTCCCTTAACTCATTCTTTAAGGAAGGTACAGTGGCAAATGACAACTGACCACTGACCTCAGAGTCAGGGACGATAGGAAGTAGTAGAGACCGTGGAAAAGTATACAGCATGCCTCATGTGGAACTGTGGGTTATCTATTCTGTTTTCTTCAAAGAAGCTGGAAATATGGATGTGGGTTTATGTGTGCAACCTTCTATTTTTTAATATTGGCAACTAATTAAAAAAATCTTAAAAATTCTGTGTAAACCTATACTGTGTAAGGCAATACCAGATGCATTTTCTGGACAGGTTTGACCACAGTCACCAGTTTATAGACTCTGCTCTGACATGCCTTCTCCATGGCTTTATCCTTTCTGGTGGTTCCATCCACGTAGTGGGAGGCTGAGGGTGGTGATCCCAGGCTTGACTTGGGATTCACACGTCTGTCTGTTGGCTGAATGGGTGAGGTGGGCATATCAATAATCTATTTTTAAGAGAAACCTCCTGAAGGGGAACTCACCCAAAGGGAAGAAAGAATCTGGCACAAGAATATCATGCTCAACTCAGTAACAAAATCTCAGGGTCAGAAGTGACATTCCCTGCTCTAGACTGACTTCTGTAAGGGCAGAGGCTGTGTCCATTTTGTTTCCTCTGTAAACTGAGAGCTTAGCAGAGCCTGGCACATAAGTAGATACTTAATAAGTATCTGACTTACTGACTTTCTGAAATCTAATTATTGCTCAGTGCATGTCAGTCACTTAAGCCGGTTTTCACCTCAGCCCTGAGGAAGTCATATCTGGATCCAGAAAGCTGTGTGTAAAAAAATACAGGAATTGCGTCAGGGAAAACTCAAGACATCGTGCGGTTACACACTGCTTTGGTACGACCTAAAAGGAATAACCAAAAAGAGAGAAGAAAGTGTTTTCCTCTCTTTACGTTACTTTTTTTCAAATGACAAAACTAAAACCATGTAGTAATTAGTTTGAGGACCTTATTCCAGGGAAAACAATCCATGGGTTGGGGGAGTGCTATGTATCACAAGCAGGGGCACTGTTCCCGAGGGATCTGAGGCAAGGGGAAGTTTTATAGAGCAAAGCGGATGGAGAGGCAAAGCGGACGGCTATGAGGTTGGGGATTTCCTTAGAAGGCTGGCAGTCCTATTTTCCAGGGTAAGGTGAGCTACTTAAGGCTGAATTGGAAGATTGGGATTGGTGCCAGCTTTCTTTGACGGTGAGGCATCTCCCATACGTGCAGGTTGACATAGGGTTAGATTTGTGACCTGCGCCAGGTCACTGGGGTGGCTTCCATTTATGAGTCCTCAGACATGAGTTAACTTCATCACGCCTCTCACTGTACATTCCTGTGCAGCTTGAGCCTTTAACGGGCTCTGTGTGATAGCAGGAGGTTCCTGCTGGGAGATGTCACAGTGCCCACAGTGCGGGGAGGAAGTCGCCCAGTGATAGCAGACAGGAGGTGTATGAATGTGGGCTGGAGACCCTGGGTAAGAGGGTAGAGGGGAAGAGCCAGAGCAATGTTAATAAGATCCCCATTTTTCCACAGCTTGAGAAAATATGGGTTATATTTGGGGCTTCTGGGCCAGGGACTACTAGCTGCTCATCAAACCCAGATTTCCTCTTCTTTCTGGGGACAACCCCTGCAGTTCCATGTGACCTCGTAGTTGGGTTCTAGCCGAAGGACTGTGAGTAGATGCTGTGTGTACCCCACGTAGGCCTGGCCCATAGACATCTCACACCTGGGATCCTCCATACTTTTTCTCACAGTGGCCCCGTGAGAAAGAATGTGCTAAAGATAACAGGGCCTTCGCTGTCCTGCTGACCTGGAACCATTCTGGGCTGTTTATGTGGGTAAATAATAAGCCTCCACTGTGTCTGAGCTGAAATAGTTTTTAGATTGGCTAGTGTGGCATTAGCCTGCCTAATTAATACACTGACTCATCCAAGATTTTCATGTCCTGCTACTGTAAATAACCAGCAACCTGGGTGTTTAGGAATGGGAGTGGAGGCTCACAGATGACCCCAGATTTTGAGAACACTAATTAGAAGTGAAGAAGCTGAAGTTGAATAGATTCCCTGGGCTGGCGTAGGGAGCTTGGCAGGATTTTCAAAAGTAGGGAAAACGTGAATGCAGTTCATAGGGTTTTCTAGCAACGGTAGCAGGAAATGGGGCTTCCTATAAAGTGATCTTAACATGCTCTAATAACTCAGACGATGAAATTCAAAAAAGAACAAAGCTCTACCTAGAAAGAGTTGCAGGGTGTGAGATAGAGCAAAGTGTGTATTTGAGATCAAGCCCAGAGTCCCACGTCTGAGTCCCACACCGTAGAGAGCCTGCATGGTGGGTTGGGTCGTGGGGAAGGCTGCTCAGCGGCCTGTGAAAATCAGGGAGTGGGCATTCTCTGAAGATGGGTGGGCCTGGTTCATAGATGCTGGAAGAAGTCAGGGGTTATTTTCTCCAAGAAATCTTCCCCTTGGTGGGAGGAGGAGGTGTTATGTAGTTGGGTCCATGTACAGCCCTGTCTTTTTAAAAATCGGTAAAATTCTGAATTTCAAAACACATCTGGGCCCAAGGTTATGGATAAGGGAATCTGGATTGCTTCTGAACTGGGGTTTGATTGGTGGATAGAATTTAGGTGTTTGGAGATGTGGAGGGGATTTTAGGAAGAGAAAAAAACATCTTCCCTCCCGCACCAGTTTAGGTCTAGGTATGTCATTATTCCACCATTAAATTTGCCTTAAAGGCAGAGAAGGTCTGTATTTCTGATAACTACTCTCTAATTCGTGATTCATACACAGTTGGAGGGTTGGACTTTCTGAGTTTGGCTTTTTCCCCCACAGTATTAATCCCCTCCTTTTCCCACAAATCACCTGACTTCCCCGAAAACTCTGTAACACACCCTTTGGCTGAAGAAGAGCATTAGGCAATCTGTGAAATTCCCCACTCCTTTCCCCCCTGGAACCCTGGACAGAGAGGAATCCCAGGCCTCAGGAAGGATGCAGTTCTTGTCTCAAAAGCAGAGGGAGCTCCAGGATTAAGGCTGAGCTGCCCTTTCCCTGTGCCCTGGTCTCCCAGCCCCCACTCTGTTTTGACCAGGGAATTTCAGACATGTACACTGGGGAAGGGAATCATACGAACAGAACCGGGACAGGGAGGCCGGCGGAGGTTCCTGCAGAGGAGTGTCCAGGCCCTGGGCTGCCCTTCTTGGCTGCTGGCAGGGTTGCCCAGCATGCCCACTGGCAAGAGAGAGGGGACTGACCCACTTGCTCCCATCATCTTCTGAAGGTAAAAACCTTAAAAACAAAAGCAGAGCTTTGATGGAAGAGAAAAGAAAGGCAGAAAACTTCACATAGAAGATTTCGGGTAAAGATGGAGGGCTGGAAAGAGCAGAATAAAAGGAAGGCAGAATATAGACAACCTATTTCTCTTAGGTTGACCTTGCCAACCCCACATCACCCCACTACTTACCACTGTTTTCAGAGGTAGGAACATTTTTGGCAAGACTTTTCTAGGAACTTTGGGAAGATATCTTGTCCTTGTCTTTTAGTAAAGGGAAAACATCTGGAAAATTAATGGAGGGAATTGACGGAATACATTTCCTTTTAAGTATCTTGCCGTCCATCTGCCTCTTTTCTCTTTGCCCACCCAGCCCACTTCTCCCAAGGTCACTGCCTTCCCCTAGGGAGAAAACCTCATTCCCCATCAGTGGTCACTGGGAGCATCAGCAGCCGTATATGCAACAGTGAACATAGTAAAAGGAGAGCTGGTTTGAAGGGGTAAGGGGGTCACCGCCAACAGAGGAGGGGGGGGATGTCCTGGGTGGGTGATCGTGATGGGAAACGACTTCTGAAAACCTTAGTGGAAATGGAATATTGTTCTGGGAGGGCAGGAGACAGACTGACAGAGGGCGGTAGGGCGGGGGTGAGGAAGGAGACCTGAGAAGGAAGAAAACAGGTGCAAAGTACTCATGTCTTGGGGGGGGGGAACTGGAAGAAGTTCCAGGGAAGCGATGGAGAAGAAAAAGATTTAATTTTAGTCCAGGAAAGGAATTGAAGCAGCACCAGGGAGGGTATGAGAGGGCAGCTGTCATATGGTGGGGTCAGGGATATAGCTGTTTAACCTGTGTGTGATTTGTATGAAGGTGACACTGTACCCCAGGTGGCCCCTACTGCCAAATAGGTGCCTGTGTTTATTAGACAAATATAGCCAGGTCTGCCATCCCTTTAGCTCCAAAGTCCAGAGGTGCCGAGAGCCAGGACCAAGAGACGTGCCACTCACCAGGGTAGACACAGTGCCAGAGATGAGGTAAGTGCCCATGAGTCTACAGAGATGCACAAGGACTCCATTCCCTTCATCTTCTCAAGACAACAGCTCAGATGGAAGCCTGGTTTTGGTTTGACCTGGACCTTTTTGCTTGACTCCAAACAAAGATTCTCCTTAGAGAACGTGCTGTTGCCCCCTCCTTCCCCCTCCCCTCTCCCTGTGACAAAGCCTGGTGCTCTGCACTAGTCCACTGGGACCTGAGCCACCCATCTCTCCACATGCCTTTTTTTTCAGGTGCATTGTCCTGTTTTCCCTTTTGGTGTGGGCGTATGCTGAGCCTACTATGTATGGGGAGATCCTGTCCCCTAACTATCCTCAGGCCTACCCCAATGAGATAGAGAAATCTTGGGAAATAGAAGTTCCTGAAGGGCACGGGATCCATCTCTACTTCACCCATTTGGACATAGAGCTGTCAGAGAACTGTGCATATGACTCAGTGCAGGTATAGTGTCGTCCGCACGCAGAGCGTAGGGCTGGGTGGTAGAAGGAGAAGGAGGTGGGAGGCCATGCCACAGGCATGCAGGGAACCAGAGGCAAATAATCCTCAGATGGTACATGTTCTATTCTCTCTGTCCCTTTTTCTCTGAACTCCACACTGAAATATTACCTTTCTTAGCTTCTTTTGGTCTCTTCTCTTAGATAATGTCAGGAGACTTTGAAGAAGGAAAACTCTGTGGACGAAGGACCAGCAAGAATCCCAACTCCCCAGTTGTGGAAGAGTTCCATGTCCCATACAATAAACTGCAGGTGATCTTTAGGTCGGACTTCTCCAACGAGGAGCGATTCACGGGGTTTGCGGCATACTATGTTGCTGTAGGTAAGGTTCAACCTTCTACGGGTGCCTTGTTGATCCAGCTGAAAGATTAGAAGTGGGACAAATACAGAGCAGTGCAGTGATGAGTATTCTGTTTATAACTGTCACGAAGTGTTGATTTGGCATGAGTTCCTCCATGAATTATTTTTGTGAAATCCAAGCATATGATTGTATCTTTGTGGTGATGATGATGGTAGTACTGGATAGGAAAGGGGGATTTATTGAGAAACATGATGAACTGGGCACTGCATTAGAAAATACACCTGTGTTCACTTAATCTGCACCTCAGCTCTTCAAGGTAGGTATTATTACCTCCACTTAAAGATAAGGAAAGAGAGGACCAGGAAAGATCAGTGACCAAGTGTCACACCTGGAATGTATGGTATTCAAACCTGTTCAATGGCCAAGACACCTTCAAGTTCTGTGTGCTTCTCCATGTATCACCAGGCTAAGATGAAGTCAGATCATCTCATAAAGCCAAATTATTGTTTAGATTTGACAGGAGTGACACAATATCATATCAAATAATACATGTGCTAATGGTTCCTCCTCCCTGCAGAACACATATCAACACACCTAGCTTGCAGTGTTGTCTCTAGAATTGAAATGCTGCGCTTGTGACACAGGTTAAAGCCTCTGGTATTGAGAGCTCCCTCACAGCTGTGCCATGGCAGGGCACACCTCTGCAGTCATACTTCAGGAGAGTTATACATAATAATACCATCCTGAAATGTGATTCGCTGAAGGTCTTTAAGCAACAGGCTTTTCCTACTTTTTCTTACCCTTGTAGTTTTGGGTTTAAACACACTTTTCTTTCCAGGTCTTTGTCGTTGACCTCGAACTTTCCTTGTTCCCTATAGATATAAATGAGTGCACGGACTTTGCAGATGCTCCTTGCAGCCACTTCTGCAACAACTTCATTGGCGGCTACTTCTGCTCCTGCCCCCCGGAATACTTCCTCCATGATGATATGAAGAATTGCGGAGGTGAGCTTGGCATCAGGAGGGGTGTGTGTTCCCTGGGATTTGGAACGGTTTGATGTTTCAGTAAGGGCTTTGTCTACCCTTCCAATTTTGATTAGCCTCAGCCTTGATTTGACATATATATATTTTTGGATCTGTAAGTTGAGGGAGAGGCACAAGAGCAGAGGCAGATAAGCCCACAGAATCAAACTAATTAATTAGGGAAGAGAGAGAAAGATGCCTGTGCAGAGTCTACCTGGGGCTGTTCAAAGCCATGGAAGGCTCTATCATCAGCTCCTTTTGGAAAGCCAATAGGCACTGAGTGTCTCCATTGCTGTGTCCTGGGTGTGTAAACGTGGCACACGGGCTCCAGTCAGGGACTGTTGGTTCACGAGGAGAGTCAGAGAATAGGGCAGAAATTTCTTTGCTTCTCTCTGTATCTGATTTCCCTTTTCCTTTTTTCCCCCTAGTCAATTGCAGTGGGGATGTCTTCACTACACTGATTGGGGAGATCACAAGTCCCAATTACCCCAATCCATACCCAGAGAACTCGAGGTGCGAATATCAGATCCTGTTGGAGGAGGGGTTCCAAGTGGTGGTGACCGTGCGGAGAGAAGATTTTGATGTGGAACCAGCCGATTCAGAGGGCCACTGCCCTGACAGTTTAGTTGTACGTGCTGGGTCATGAATTTTCTCCCCAACTCACACAGAAAGTTTTCTCCTTGAAGACAAATTATTGTTCCTTCTTCCTCTCCTTTTCTTTTCACCTCCTTTTTCTTATTTCATGTTACCTTCTACCTTTTGTTATTATTTTTTATATTCCCTCCATTTTTACCTCTTTCTTTCAGTTCTTTCTGTCTTCTGATTTCACCATGTTGTTTCTTTTCAGTTTGTTGCAGGAGACCGGCAGTTTGGCCCTTTTTGTGGCGATGGATTTCCTGGGCCAATAAACATCGAAACCCAGAGTAATGCTCTTAATATCATCTTCCAAACTGATCAGGATGAGCAAAAAAGAGGCTGGAAACTTCGTTACCGTGGAGATCGTGAGTAACTGAAAATTTACTCTTTGGTTGTTGGTTAGTGGCAGCAAAGTCCCTGGACAATGTAAAATCGAAACAGAAACATTGTTTTGATTCTGAAATAGTCCACTTCCTCGGCAAGACCCAAACCTGTCAGTGGCTGCTACAAGTGCCTTGGGCTCTAAGGAATCCTTCAACTGGACTTGCCAGTGCACACAACTTGGGAGCGGGCAGTTAGTATATAATGCCATATTATTTTAGACATCTCCATGTTGGAATGTTTGGCATCAAGATTGAAGATGGCTAAACAATTTTAGAAAGTGTGAGAATGATATAAATAGAACAGAGATCCTCCAACTATTTGGTAATTTTTTTTTCTGTCCTTTCCAAGCAATCCCCTGTCCTAAAGAAGTCACTGCCAATTCTGTTTGGGAGCCTGAAAAAGCAAAATATGTGTTCAAAGATGTGGTGAAGATAACCTGTGTGGAAGGGTTCGAAGTTGTACAGGTGAAGTACTGTTAGGGGCTCCTCCCTAATCCCTAGGTTAGGATGAGTGTGCTGGAATTGTCCAATTGTTCATTGAATGCTTGAGCAAGGTGTAAACTCTTCTCCACAAACAGAAGGGCTGGGACCTGCAGCCCTTCCTTGTCATGAAGCTCCTTGGCCAGCTTGGCATTCTCTTTCTGCCCTGTCTTCCTGGGGAAGGAGAGCTGATAATCTGGGGTAAAGTTGTCATTTAGCCCCAACTGCTGGATGCTTTGGGTTATTCTGCTGAGATGTCTTCTTGTGGTGAGGACTTCTCCCTGATCCGAGGCCAGAGAGTGACTCCATTTTTAATTTTGATTCTCCATTATCTCCTCTTATAAACTGATGATGATGATGATGATGATGATGTCTCTTATTCTCCAGGGAAGTGTTGGTTCAACATATTTCTATTCTACATGTCAAAGCAATGGAAAGTGGAGTAATTCCAAACTGAAATGTCAACGTATGTATCTCTTTAAAAATGGGATCCTTTTTTTTTTTCTTCCCAAAGGGAATTGAAAGATCAGTGCATCAAGATTCAGATGCATGGTTTCTCTTTAGGCTTGTGAGAGGTCGGGCTGGGATTTAGATGGGAAACCAGTCATGGAGTCCCAGTCTTCATCTGGTCCCAGGCTAGCCAAGTTAGCAGGTGTCTTCCAAAGAAAGGGGCAGTGGGATTGGTAGAGTTAATAGCACCATGTGGGTCCATTCCTGGCTTCTACAGGGGCCTCAGTGAACACTGAGAATCAGGTTTCTCCTTGTCACTTGAAGGTGTCACCTTGAAGGCACTATCTGAATTGGCAGGACTTGGTGGGCTGGGAGTTGAGTGATGCCACTTGGAGAGCATGGCCACAGAGGCTGGTGTGGGGGATTCATCCCATGTGAGCTTACGGACGTGGGGGTGGAAAGGAGTGAGGCAGATGGCTGGGAGGATGACACTAGCCCAGGGACTCTTCCTGGGAGGGAGTGGCTGGCCTGGTTGCCCCTCTCCTGCCTTTTTCTTGTAGCTGTGGACTGTGGCTCTCCTGAACCCATACAGCATGGTAAAGTTGAAGATCCAGAAGATACTTTATTTGGTTCTGTCACTCACTACACTTGTGAGGAGCCTTATTACTACCTGCAAATTGAAGGAAGTGGTAGGTTTTTTTGACTAGAGAAAAAAGAAAGAGTGTGTGTTGGAGGGTGAAAAGCACAGTCTTTCTGGGTTGGAGGGGATTTAAAGAGAGTTGAAAGGGAATGGGATGGACTTGCTAATCTTCCCGGCTTAGTCTAAAGACACGGTTTTCAATTAGGGCAGGGTGGGTTCCACAGGGTCCTCCATAGGGGATTGCAGAGGTCACTGAGCTTAGCTTCACAACTTCTACAGGAATTCCACCTACAATATTTATTTTTTTGACCAATTATTTAATGTATTCCAGCATTTGACCAATTATTTAATGTAGATCCAACAGGAATAATGCTTCCGGCTTTAAGTCACTGGCTTATAGTGATTGAGTTTCTTCTTTTTAAATTGAAGTATAGTTGCTATACAATATTATATTGGTTTCAAATATACAACACAGTGGTTCAACAGTTACACACATTATTAAATCCTTACCCCCACTAGCGCAGTTACTATCTGGCAACATAGTAAGATGTTAGAGAACCATTAGCTATATTCTTCATGCTCATTATCACCCCTGTGACCAACTTATATTATGATTGAGATTTTTGTGTCCCTTTATCCCCCTCACCCTGTCCACCCATCCATGATTGGCTTTCTTGATGGAGAGGTGTTGGTAGATGTAGGGTTGGATAAGACATAATATGTCCCACTTCATTGCTTTTAATTTAGTTTCCCATGTGAAGCACTTTCCCAATCTCCACCATAACCCTCATTTATCAGACTGATCCTCCTCCACCCTTGGCAGGACAGAGGCCAGAGGGATTGCTTGGAGGATGTTCTCAGGAGTCTTTCCTCACTGATTTGATCTGATGCCCTCCTTCAATCCCAGAGGAGCTAAGGCTCTGAATGAATGGTGGGGAGGGGAGAATAGAAGAGAGAGGATGTGCTGAGGAGTATGTCTTGTGACACTTGTGCTCTTGCAGGGGAATATCACTGTGTGGCCAATGGAAGCTGGGTGAATGAGCTGCTGGGCACAGAGCTGCCAAAATGTATTCCAGGTAATCAAGGCTTGGGTTCGGTTAGGGATAAAACCAGCCACAGATACAGGTGAGTGGGGGTCACCTTCTAAAAGAAGCTGGGATCTTCTTGGGAAAGGACTTAGTAGTTCAGGCCTAGCAGAGTCAAGCTCAGTTGGTGGGGAGACAGGGAAGTCTGTGGGAGGGCAGGGCCCTGGGGTGTTCCTCATCCACACTGAGTCAGGCCAGCTGAAAAAAGCCCAGCCAGCGACAGAGGTATCAGAGTCAGTGCCAGTGAAGTTTGATAATGTAGGCGTTGTGAAAGGATTTCAGATTGCTAAACATGGGGCCTGAAAATTAGGAGTGAGGAATCAACACTCAGAAACAAGACGAGTTGAATAATCTAGTTATTATATTAAAGTTTATATGGCAACAAGATATAGAGGGATAAAAGAATTGAGGGGTTGCAGACAGGTCAGAGTCAGGTAGAAGGCTCTCAGGTGAAGCCAGGATAATAATATTGATCCTGGTATAGTGTTTTTGAGAGATAGGGGGTGAGCTAATTAATTCATTTATTATCTCATTCCAGTCCTTGCAACAATCCTATGGGGTAGGCATTATTAGCCCCATTTCACAGAAAAGTGAATTGAGTACAAGTTCATACAGTCAGTGAGGAGCAGGGGTGGGATTTGAACTCAGGTCTGTCTGAGACCAAAGTCTGTTATGCTCAACTCAAGAGTCCATTCAGGCTGACCAGCGAGGGATTTAGGGAAGCCAACTTCATCTGAAATAAAATTCAGTTTTAGTTACACTGGGTCGTGGCGAAGTGGTCAAACCTGGGCCCCGTCAGTGAGGAATGACAAGTGGGAGAGCCCTCTCTTTGCCCTGCTTCCGCTGACTCCTGGGAGGGACTCAGGTGCAGCTGGGTCCGCAGTAAAGAAGGCCATCAGCTTTGGGTCTGGGCCTGTGCTGAGCCTGGGGTGAAGTGTGCCTCTGGGCGGGCTGTGAGTCACGCGGTCCACTTATGTGAGTGGACATTTGGCCTTGGAATTCACGCACTGCCTCAGTTTGACCAGTGTCTTCCACAAGCCTGCTCGTGGCATTGGCAGAGGGGGATGTGTGGTCCCTAGGCGAGTGAGGATGAGGCAGGTGCTGGGATGGCTGACCAAATGCAGGGGCGGCTATGCTGTTCCAGGCACCTCTGCAGCGAGTAGTGGGAGGAGCTGCAGGAGGCCAGCAACCTGTTTCCTGCTCCCTCCTACCTCACTTTTTCCTTCCCAGTTTGCGGTGTCCCCAGTAAGCCCTTTGAAGCAAAACAGAGGATACATGGAGGAGTACAGGCAGACATACAGAGCTTCCCTTGGCAAGTCTTCTTTTCGAGCCCACGGGCCGGTGGGGCTCTCATTGATGAGCACTGGGTGCTGACAGCTGCCCATGTTGTGGAAGGAAACCCCAACCCTGTGATGTACGTCGGGTCCTCCTCGGTGGTCACCTCAGTTTTGGCAAATGCCCAGATGCTCACCGCTGAACGTGTCTTTATTCACCCGGGTTGGAAAATCATGGATGCCCCAGAAACACGTAAGAATTTTGACAATGACATTGCACTGGTGCGGCTGAAAGACCCAGTGGAAATGGGGCCCACTGTGTCCCCTATCTGCCTGCCAGGCACATCCCCAAACTACGACCCTGCAGAGGGAACCCTGGGACTGATCTCAGGCTGGGGCCGAACAGAGAAAAAAAGTCATGTTATCCTGCTCAGAGGGGCAAAGATACCCATTGTTGCCTTAGAAAATTGCCGGGGATTGAAAGTGGTAAATCGCAGAGTGGATATAAATGCCTTCGTTTTCACTAATAATATGATCTGTGCTGGAGGGGAGAAGGGCGTTGATAGCTGTGAGGGGGACAGTGGTGGGGCCTTTGCTGTACGGGACCCCGAGGGAGAGAATAAATTCTACGTGGCTGGCCTGGTGTCCTGGGGTCCCCAGTGTGGGACCTACGGGATGTACACACGAGTGAAGAACTACCTTGACTGGATAAAGAAGACCATGCAGGAAAATAGTACCCCCAGTGCGGACTAACCCGTACATACCTCACCAGCCTCTCCAAGATCCATAGTCATCTGTTGTTTTCCATTCTTCACAATATTCCCATTAGTTCACTGTGACTGAGAGAAGACATGGAAGTATGATTTAAATAGAATTGATCGTTGGGATACCTGGCTGGAAGTCATTTAGTGTGGTCTGAATTTGTGGGGTCCTCTCCCCTGAATGCCAGCTGTGGGTAACACCACGGGAAGCGCAGCCCTATCTGGCACTATTCCACGGGGAGGCCCCTTTTCTGATGACCGACTCGTGTCACAGTTCTGACTGAAATTGATTGTTGGGCATACCCTTGATTTTTCATTTCCCCCTTTGCCTGTTCAAAGTTCTATTTACTTCATCATTCTCATTGTCTGCTATCTACTTGTAATAAAGCACGGTTATAACCCAGTTCTGGCTGATTCATCATCTTGTTTTCCACCAAGACCTCAGCACCATAGAAGGGGGTGTGATGAGGGGGCTGTTGTGTCCTGGAAATCCAGGCATCTATTTGATCATCATGAAAGCAGATATTTGACCATCATGAAAACAGGGAATTCAGTTATTCTCTTCTCTTCCAACTGAAATTTGCTGAATATTGTGGATCAGCACGAGCATCCTTAACGCAAGTACTGTATTCTGCACCTTCAAACTCATTATGTAAACTTCAGTCAGAAGTCCACATACAACAGTTAGCACTGGCTGTTTAGGATCTTCTTTAAGTGTAACGTTTTAAGTATAAATTGTTTCAATATGTTTCCTGAAGATTAATTTCCCTTTAGTACTTAATTGTAAAAGATCATCTATGATTTAATAAAATAGAAAAACAGGAGAAATTCAACATGTTCTCACTGCTTTCCTAATGGTTTCAGTCAATGTTTCAGTCAGGCAGCAATGTCTTCTCTGGATAGATCTCTGCACCAAGATGTTCTGGCTGAAAGTCCTAGTGACAGGAGATCCAAAGACTCTCTCTTCTATTTTTTTTTTTAAAGGAATGAAAATGAAAAATAAAACTCTTCCTCCCCTCTCAAATAATTAGTGATGAAAAATGACTGCACAGCAGAGATTAGTATGTTTCAGATGAGGACAGGAGAGCTGTCTAGGGCGGCAGTTGCCCTAATAGGCTGTCTTATGAAAGCCATGGACGGAGAGGAAGAGTTTCGAAGGACTCTGGTCTGTTTGATGTGACGTGTGGCTTTCAAGAGAACAGTTTTTATCAGAAGCCAAAGGGGTTGTAGCTGGAGCCCATTGAGAAAGTACTTTGACCTCCACAGAACAACAGAGCTAAATTCAACAGTTGACCTTAGACTGAAGGTCAACACTGATGAAGTATCCACTACGATAACTGAAGAGTCTGAACAATCAAAGGGGAATTATAATAGGGAGCCTCCAGAGGATTGTGCTGAGTCAACCAAACAGCAAAAAGCCATTTACGCTATTCCTTGACCGTATATGCCTTGTAACCACCTTCCCCCACTTGCCTGTCATTACACCTGCAATGGAATTGACAGTGTACCCCAGACGACAGTGTTTTGGGTGGGAGAAGGGGGATTCCTCTAGAGAAAAAAAAGAATTGGAAAAATATTAAGATTAAGAAACATATTCATGATGTAGAAATTTTCCTCATTTTTTATAATTGGAGCAATAGAAAAAAAATTAACCTAGAATCTGACAGGTAACAGAAAAAGGAAGCCCATCCCTGCCAAAGAGACTCTTGGTCTGTTTGGGTTCTGCCCTTACTGATAAGGTGAGGTTGGTGGAAGAATTTGCTGGTTGCTGCAGCCTTGTGTAGTAGGATGGGTATTGTTTTTGCATGGTTAACTGTACTATGGGATCATTTTCCTGGGTGAATGGCAGGGAGGGATTCTAAATGAATCATCACTAGAGACTACAGAGCTTGGAAGGGCTCAGCAAGGCCTAGAAGGGCTAGAAAATCACTCATGTGGCTTGATGTGTATCAATCATACTGCTTTGCTTGCCATATGGGAACATGTGTCTGCTTGAGACTCAGGGAAAGACAACTTATTCAGGCAGGTGAATTGTCATATTTCTTTGATCAGAAGGAAATGGACTGGTGGATCAACTCCTCATGCCAGGGAGAAGATAATGGCCAGAGGCCAAGGTGACTTGATGGGAAGGAATCTTGTTGACACTGGGCTAGTCCAGAAGGGGTGAGAGGGATTTGGGGATGTTTTAGAGTTCTTTTACTGTGATTCCTAGTATCAGAAACATTTTCTATGGAAACATGAGTTTATGCTTACTGCGTATATGTTCTTTTTTTAAATAAAAAATCTGAGAAACAATTTTTAAGCTTTATTGTGCTATAATTGACAAAATTGTAACATGATGATTTGATGTACCTATATATTGTGAAATGATTTCCTCCATCAAGTTAATTTATACATGCATCTCTCATATGTTTACCCTTACATTTTTTTGTGTCTCTGTGAGAACATTTAAGTTCTACTCACTTAGCAAATTTTAATTGCACAATATGGTGTTATTAACTATAGCCACTATGTGACAAATTACATCCTCAGGACTTATTTATCTTATAACTGAAAGTTTGTGCCCTCTTACTAACCTATTTCCCCCACAGCCCACCCCTTCCTTGGCAACTACTTTTCTCCTCTCTGTTTCTATGAATTTGACTTTTTTTTTGTAAGATTCCACATATAAGTGATATTATGCAGTATTTGCCTTTCTCTAGCTGGCTTATTTTATTTAGCATAATACTCTCCAGTTTCATCCACATTGTCTCAAATGACAGGATATCTTTCTTTTAAAGGCTGAATAATATTCTATTNACTCTTAGCAAGTTTCTTTATGTTGGCTTTTGTGAATAATGCTGCAATGAACATGGAAATACAGATATCTCTTTGAGGTAATGGTTTCATTTCCTCTGGGTATATTCCCATAAATGAGATTGCTGGATCATAGGTAGTTTAATTTTAATTTCTTGAGAAACCTCTAAACTGTTTTGCACAGTGGCTGTACCAGTTTACATGCTCAACAACAGTGTACCAGGGTTCCCTTTTCTCCCCAGTGTCCCCAGCGTGTGTTATCTCTATTCTTTTTGTAACATCCATCCTAACAGATTTGAGGTGAAATTTCATTGTGGTTTTGACTTGTATCTGCCCGTTATTTAGGGATGCTGAGCACCTTTTTCATGTTTCAATTGGCCATTTATATGTCTTCTCTGGAAAAATGTCCTTTGCCCATTTTAAAATTGAGTCATTTCCTTTTTTCCTATTGGATATGTTCCTTGTATAATTTGGATATTAACTCCTTATCAAATACATGGTTTGCAAATATTTTCTCCCATTCTACAGGTTGCCTTTTCATTTTGTTGATGGTTTCCTTTGCTGAGCAGAAGCTTTTTAGTTTGATGTAGTCCCATTTGTTTATTTTTGCTTGTTACCTTTGCCTTAGGTGTCAAATAAAAGAAATAATTGTCAAGACCAATGTTAAGGAGCTCACTGCCTATGTTTTCTTCCAGCAGTTTCATGGTTTCAAATCTTCCATTAAAATCTTCAGGATTAAAGATTTTGTTTTAAAATTGATCTTTTTGTAGTTATAAAAATATTTGATTGATAATTTTACATAATAGTAAGGGGTTGTAAGTACTTTTTAAATTTCAGGATATTGATAAGTGCATAAACTGGCAATTTTGAAATAGGGCATTTTGATTTTTCATAAGAATTGTTGTATTTACAAGTGTTGGTGAGGTTGTGGAGAAAAGTGAACCCTCCTACACTGTGGGTAGGAATGTCAATTTGTGCAGCCACAGTGGAAAGCCACTTATGGAGGTTCCTCAAAAAACTAAAAATAGAAATACCATTTGATCCAGTAATCCCACTTCAAGGAATTTACCTGAAGAAAACAAAATCCCTGATTTGAAAAGATAAATGCACCCTTATGTTTAAGGCCACATTATTTACAATAGCCAAGTTATGGAAGCAACATAGTGTCCATAAATAGATGAATGGATAAAGAAGATGTGGTACATATACATAATGGAATATTATTCAGCCATTGAAAAAGAAGAAATCCTGTTATTTGCAACAACATGGATGGACCTAGAGGGTGTTATGCTCAGTGAAATAAACCAGGCAAAGAAAGACAAAGACCATATAATTTCACTTATTTGTAAGATATAAAAACAAAACAAAACAAAATGGACAAAATAGCAGTGGACTCATAGACCCTGAGAATGACTGAAGGAGGGGTTGGGGTGGGTAGGTGGAGAGGATGAGGAGGATAAAGGGGCACAAAAATTCTCAATCATAATATAGATTGGTCACAGGGATGGTAGTACAGCATGGAGAATACAGCCAGTGGTTCTGTAACATCTTCACATGTTGACAGATAGTAACTGCACTAGTGGGGATGAGGATTCAATAATATGGGTAAATGTTGAACCACTGTGTTGGATACTTGAAACCAATATAAGATTGTATATCAATGATACTTCAATAAAAAAAAAAGAATGAGGGAGATTCAGATACATTGACATCCAAGATGTATTTAAGAGGAAAAAAAAAATCGAAGAAAAATACATATGTTTGATGCCCTTCCACCCCCCAAAAGAATTGTTATATTTCATAAGGGGCTAATTAAACTGATTTAAGATTAGTTATTTCCCAGTTCTGCACAACAGTTCTCATTTCTATATTAATTTGATTCATGCTTCTGTGACCCTAGCTAAAGTTTGAGACCAGAAAACAGAAATCAAGCTATTAAGTTAAAGTTTTTCCCAAATTGCAGCTTTTAAAATATGACAGGTTTCTTTTCTCTTCTGTTTGCCAAATGCTTATAATTATTTGAATTGTGGTGTGTTATTTAATATGGAAAATGCCAGTGTTTAATGACAATAACACTAAAACTGAATTATAAAGCTAAATAATCAATATTTTATTATTTACTAGTCTGCTAGTAAATATTACAATAAATAAATGTTTTGAAAGATAAGCGAAAAAAAAAAAGCCCACAAAAAAACAGATAAAACTAGAAATAATTCAGGAACAAGAATTTAATAAAATGTGTCAAAACATTGGCAATGGTTCATACAAGTTTTTTATTTAATAGCAATTTTTCTATTTAACCACACCAAGCAGGTGTATTTAAGAGGCTAACCATTAAGAAAATTCTGTTGCAGCAATAGTTGATTGATTTTTGACTTGTATTCACATAACTGTTTCACAATTCTCAAATAACACATTTAGGCAGCTTATGTTATAAAAATTTAAATTCATTGCATGCCAATAGTAGAGAATTCAAGAATTACATGTTAGAATTCACTAAACTAAAAGTGACAATAGACTTACCAATAATACTGAATAATGAATAATTCAACCACAGTTTCATAGCATCTTTAACTGTGGAGACCAAAATATTAAGTCTGGAACTGT